AGGCTGCCCCACACCTAGTTCCTGAGCCCTCTACGGCTTCCTACCCCGGCCCCACCCGCAGGGCCCCTTCGTCTGGGCGCTCCCCCCCACTCTCCCTGCATCTCCTTTCTCTGCCCACCGCTCTGCCCTTCATTCCCTACCCCCATAGCTCCCTAGCGGCCTGGTGGCTTGGATTCCGCATTCACCCAGTACTGAGTGCCCGGCTCGCTGGGGTCCAGGCGGAAGACAGCTGCTCCCGTGTGTAGAAACAGGCACTGCACCAGCCTGGTTAGACATGATTTTGTCCCCATAGATGCAGCCCTGCAGCTGGGAGCTTGAGCTAGGCTTGGAAAGGAGAGGAAGCCGGTGTAGTGGCGCTTCTTTCAGCCTGAGGAACAGAGAGCTGTGGGAGTAGGGCAGTCTAGCAGGGAGTGATGGAATGAATACTGATTGAGCCAGCAGACACCTGACAGAGCACACGGTTCTGCAGTGTGGCTCTCTGTTGGGTCAGACAATGGTGTTTCAGACAAAGAAACAGAACCACAGAGCCCTGCCACCACGTGGACTCCCTAAACTTGTCTCCTGTTGCCCTTGGAGTTGAGAAGTATGTTATCTGTCGACTAAGAGCAATTGCAATAGAACTGTTGTTTCCCTCTGTGACTGATCCCCAGGTGGGGTGCTTGGGGCAAGATGCCGCGGAGGTCAGGGGTCACCATTATGGTAACCCCCCCCCCCCCCCCCCCCCCAAGCAGTGCAGCTGTACTGTCTTACTGAAGCCATGGAGGTCAAGACTGGGAGGTCACAGAGGTAAAAAGAAAAACACCTTGTGATTCAGCGCCATCTACTGGGAAATAGCTGAAAAACCTCTTCAGAAGAAGCTGCTATCAGCCATATATATAGACAGATATAAATGCTCCCCTAGGCAAAGGAGAACAGCAAACATCATGAATAACCACAATAACGAGGATGACCAGAAAGAAAATGTCATATCTAAGAAATCAATGCCACATTCGATGCCATGAAGCTTTCCCTCATGTTTTCTTGTAGGGTTATATAGTTTAAGTGTTTGATACATTTTGAGATAATTTTTGTATATCATGCTCGATAAGTGTCCAGTTTTCCTAGCACCATTTTTGAAGAAACCATATGTTCCCCATTGTGTAGCCTTGGTAACCTTGTCAAATATGATTTGACCATATATGCAAAGTCTTATTTCTGGACTCTATTCTGTTATTTTGGTCTGTGTGTGTCTTTATTCCAATACCATACTGTTTTCCTTATTGTAGTTTTATAACATGTTTTGAAATCAGACAGTGTGAAGCTTCTAGCTTTTTTTCCCCCTCAAGATTGTTTTTGGCAGAAAATTCCAAGATGGCAGCAGATTAAGTGGAAACTACACTGACATTCACCCAGGACCAAACTGGAATTACAACTAAAATATAGAAAAGCAATCCTGAATAACCAACTGAAGACTAGCTGGAGAGAACCTTTATAACCAAGGATATAAAGTGGAGACCACATAGAGACTGGCAGGAAGTGTGGAGGCGTGAGAGGGCTGGCCAGGCTCCCATAGACAGCAGCTGAAGTTCAGGAGGGATATCTCAGCTGTGGGGGTTTCCCACTGAGAACTCTGGGGTATAAAACCCATGCTTGGCGAGGAGAACCAAGATGGTGGCATAGGGTGTAGACCTGTGCATGCTGCCTCCCACAACATCATTGAAACTACCAACTATAAGACAAACAACTACCATTCAGAACCATGGGAAAGTTGGCCCAGGGTAAGTTGTACAACTGGAAGGAAAGAAAGAAGCGCAGTGAGACTGAGTAGGAGCTACAGAGGCGCCAAGAACAGAGGTAGAGTCGTGCGCCAGGCGGGCTGCAACTGGATGCATGGTATTTTTTCGATCGGAGGGGGTTACAAACTCTCGAATCCACTGGGCTTGTTCGGGACGGGACTCTGAGGCCCCAGACCCCACGGGGAGAGGCTGCACGGCCTTGCAGCGGTCGGAAAGCGAGAGAGGCTCTGGCGCACAGCTGCTCGCCGGCACTGGGGGAAGCGAAGTCCCAGAGTCCCAGAGAGGCGAGGAGCTGCGGAGACGCCGCCATTGCTATTTGCTCCGCCCTGGCGACTCCCTGAGACCCCGCCCTACTCAATTTACATTCCCATCCAAGCTGTGCCAGAGGCACAAGAGGAAACGCCTGTGCTTTTACAAACTCTCGAATCCACTGAGCTTGTTCGGGCAGGATAATGAGGCACCAGACCCTACGGGGAGAGGCGGCACAGCCTTGCAGCGGTCGGGAAAGCGAGGGAGGCTCTGTCGCACAGCTGCTCACCAGCACTAGGGGACATGAAGTCCCAGAGTCCCAGAGAGGCGAGGAGTCGTGGAGACGCCATTGCTATTTGCTCCACCCCGGTGACTCCCTGAGACCCCGCCCTACTCAATTTACATCCCCATCCAAGCTGTGCCAGTGGCACAAAAAGACCCACCTGCGCTTTTGCAGCCTAACCCAACAAATTGCAGACTTCAACTCCTCGCACCCATGGGAGACACACTCAAGAAGCAGACCCAGGAGAACCAAGATGGCGGCGTAAGGTACAGACCTGTGCGTGCTGCCTCCCACAACAACATCGAAACTACCAACTATAGGACAAACAGCTATCATACGGAACCATGGGAAAGCTGGCCCAGTGGAAGCTCTACAACAGGAAGAAAAGAAAGAAGAGCATTGAGACTGAGTAGGATGTGCAGAGACACCAAGTACAGAGCCCAACCCAGCAGGCTGCAGATTTCGGCTCCTCGCATCCGGGAGGGACACGCTCAGGGGGCGGAGTCGGGTTCAGGGGAGGCCGGGGCCGGGCCTGGTTGGGCGGACGACGTGGAACTGCTGTACCAGCAGGCGCACAAGCATGTCCACTGGTGCCAGTCTCACGTGGGACGCTGGGGGATGGCAGACGGGCAGTCTGTGCACTTGGTGGAGGGTGAAGTCCAAGCAGGCGTGCCGGATGTTCAGCTACCAGGAACACCTGGAGATTTTGCCCGGCGGGGAGCCGCCCAGCAAGGGACAGAGTGCCAAACTTCATGTTGCCCCGGTGAGGCCGGGACGGCTCTGGTGAGGTCGGGACGGCCCCGGTGAGGTTGAAATGGCCCCAGTGAGGTCGGGACAGCCCCAGTGAGGTCGGGACAGCCCTGGTGAGGTCGGGACGGCCCTGGTGAGGCTGCGACAGCCCCGGTGAGGTCAGGACGGCCCCGGTGAAGTTGAGACGGCCCCGGTGAGGTTGAGATGGCACCGGTGAGGTCGAGACAGCCAAGGTGAGGTCGGGACGGCCCCAGTGAGGTTGGGACAGCCCCGGTGAGGTTGAAACAGCCCCAGTGAGGTCGGGACGGCCCCGGTGAGGTCAGAACGACCCCGGTGAGGTTGAAACGGCCCCGGTGAGGTTGAGACGGCCCTGGTGAGGCCGAAACGGCCCTGGTGAGGTTGAAACGGCCCCGGTGAGGTTGAGACGGCCCTGGTGAGGCCGAAACGGCCCTGGTGAGGTTGAAACGGCCCCGGTGAGGTTGAGACGGCCCTGGTGAGGCCGAAACGGCCCCGGTGAGGTTGGGACGGCCCCGGTGAGGCTGAAACAGCCCCAGTGAGGTGAGGACGGCCCCGGTGAGGTCGTGATGGCCCCGGTGAGGAAAAGAAAAGCACTGGTACCGAGTACCAAGGCAGCATGCACAAGGAGACCTGGGCTTTCAAGGAGGCAAGGCCAGCCCAGCATAGACCCAGGAAAGCTGAGCTCCTAGCGGATCTGGAAGACCCATTGCCTCTGTCCAGCCCCAGCAAGTGTCTCTCAGTGTGAGAGTCAGAGCTCTGCTCAACTTGCAGAATTTGATCTCTACAGGATTAGACAAGAGCAAGTCATCCCAGCACACAGCACAGATGAGGTCACCAAAGAAATGCATCCTCCAAAGACAAGGATGTAAGGGACACCTGGTCCCAACATATAGAGCCAAGCTTTCTGTGGACATGGTGAGCTGGGGCTGGGCGAGTGTGTGATGGAGAGGAAGGAGCGGGCTCACACACAGGTGCCACAGGGCACCGTGAGGGCCGAGACTGGAGGTGTGCTCACTATGCGTCTGAACAGGAATGGCCAGGGTACAGGAAGGTGCTCTGTGGGAGAACTCCACAGCACAGCGCCCCGACATAGGCCCTGGGCACAGTGGACTGCCCCCGAAGGAGCACTGGTGTTGGGAGACCATTCCTGACAGCAAGTAGAACTGGAGCTGGTGGAGATCAAACAAGGTGGCACATGCTCATGCAACCTCAGGACCACACACACTTCCCAAACAGGATTCCTCTTGTGGGCAGCAGGAACATCTGGCAGGATCGGGGTGGGGGAAAAGCCACCGTGGCTCAGGCTCCTTCAGCAGCTTCTAGAACACCTTCCCCAGCTCTGAGCCTACCTCTCCAATCCCTCTGGGTGTTCTGGCTGGTCACTCACCAGGCTCCTCCTGCCTCAGACCAAGAAAGGGCTGCAGTGGCCTTTCCTGGAGGCCTTGATGGAGGACCAGAGGCCAGGAAGCTCACCACGGGAACCATTCGATCTGTGCACCTTGGAGCTCAGGAGTTCCAGTGGAGATGCCTCAGAGACTGGCAGGTGGGCTGAGGCTGAGAGACCAACGTGCCCGGTTGCAATGTGC